CAATCATTTCTATAAATATCTCAATTAATTGGGTTGCAAAGGTTGTACAAATGCACAAGGTTGTAAAAGAAATATACCCTATATATATATATATATATATATATATATATATATATATATATAGGGGCAAGTTCGTTTGTTAACCCAAATTATTGTGTTAACTTTGTTAACTAATTTTGACCATTGATCTTTGAAATTTGTGGCTAAGATCATTCATAACACAAAGTGTAATTAATTGTACACATAGATAAGGTAACATAAGTGAACAATATTTACAATGAGTATTTTGAGAGAAAAAAAATTAGTTGTCCATTAATGACAATGAAATGTTTTGTAATTGTCCATTAATGACAATGAGATGTTTTGTAACTGTCCATTAATAACAATGTAAATATTCGAGAATTAATCTCGTCACCGAATCAAAACTAACAGCAAGTTCCTCAACACCAGATTCTTCTACATTTTTTTGTTTGTTAATGGTTCATATGTGAACAAGTATTCAATATTTATGAGAATTGTTTATATGTGAATAGGGGTGTATATGGAAAAAAAAGTCGTATCACAAGTGTATATATATGTCGATATGTGTTTGTATTTGACATAATGGTTCATATATGTCAATTTGTGCTCGTAATTGACACACGGGTTCATATGGTTGTACGAATGTTAATATATGTGAATTTGTGTTCATATGGTCAAACATGTTTATCATTTTTCGTATGTTCATTTATGTCAATATGTGTTCATATTTCAATCTGTGTGCATAATTGACACAAGAATTTATATATGTTAATTTGTGTTCATAATTGACACAATGGTTCATATATGTCGAGTTGTGTTCATATGGTTATATGAATGTTCATATATGTGAATTTGTGTTCATATGGTCACACATGTTCATCATCTTTCGTATACGTCAATTTGAACGATACCTAAAACTTTACTACCGGGTCTCCTCCACCAATCACAAATTCATAAAGATTAGAGATAGAAAATCAATATTTAAAAAAATAACAAGATTAATAATAAGTCAACACAAATCATGAAATTTTGTGATTTTGTAACTTTCAATTAATGATATAGGAGTTACAAAGAAAAAAAAATTATATATGTACCTTTGTCATTAAATTCTAAGATGGATAGGAACCAAATACTAAGATGAATTGTGATTAACAGAAAATAGTTAACAAAGTTAACACAATAGTTTGGTTGGGTTAACATTTGAACTAAGCGATCTCTCTCTCTATATATATATATGTATATATGTATATAATATACTACGTACACAACACATGTCGAATTCTGCAAGTATGGTTATGGAGCATTGAAAATGCTAGGAATTATATATAACGTTGAGGAGTGGGGAGCACCGGAGCAGTTGGTGAATGTTATTTATTTATTAAAATTTTAGTTTTTATTTATTTGTTTGTTTTTTGAATTAATGTTGGTCCAGGAATGGTTTTGTTAGAAGATTGAAGTTATCATTGTTTTTAAGAAACTCAATTCTATGTGTAGGTTCAATGTCAAGACTGAGGTGGTTCTATGTGTTCATTTATATGTGAATGAATATTAGGCGAAATATCGTGTGAGAAGAAAAGTTATGGTAAGACATCTATGAAAAGATTTAAACGTTTAATCGTTTTTAATCTTATGTCTACTTATGAACTGCATATTAGAAGGGAATCGATCGATGCATCTTAATGCACCTCATTACTTTTCATACCATAACTTCTCTTCACCGGAACCCAATCCAAGAATATTAATATCAATATAAAACAGTTTTTTTTTATTTTGTTCTGAATGGTATCATTATTATATTTTCCTTCACGTGATGTATGTATGAAATGGAATGAATTTTTGTTTTCGTATCTTATTATTAAAATGTGAATGGATAGTAAAATCATAGGTGAAATATTTTGGATTGCATTTTTTTTACCATATCTTATTATTAGAGTGTGATGAATAAATGGTGAGTTATATATGAAACATTTTTTGATCGAAT